ACAGTTTTGTTAAAAGGTCGTAAGTGTCACATAAGACTTTTTAGGGAGATAAAATACATGACGTAATGTGAGAGAAAGGTTGTAAGTGGTAGATAAAAAATCCTTCCTTATCTGTCTGCTTTAGATACGACCAAGATGTTTTTACGTGTTACTATGGAAACTGAACTCTGATTAAAGTAAATTTTATATCAGTTTGTCTATAAAACATTAATTTTTTGGAATCTGCAAAAAAGCTATTTTTGTCGTAACTACCACTTACGACATTTTAATACTACGGCGTCGAGTTGTTTATTACTTTTTTATTTGTCCATAGATCTTCAAAGTGATTTCGGTTTTGAGTTAAGCATAAAAAGAACAATTTTAAAATTTTGGGCCGTGGGGTCACTTTAACCCCTTAAAGGACTTTTAGAGAACTGAAATTTTGTATTTTCAAGTATTTTCAAAAATAGTTGTGCAAGAGTTATCTCCCTTTGTCAACCTGTTTGGAGTCTAATATGCTCTCTATGTTTCAATTTTTGTATGCATATGAGGTGTACTTCCGGTTTTATAAGTACCTTAAAATTGCCTATGGAGATTTCTATGTTAAATTTGAAATCATGATTGTTCCATTATCTCAAAAGGTAGGCAAGCAATTCTTGTGAAATTTCATATGAATACTGACTCTAGCATTGTCTCCAGGTGCTAAGGTCATGAAAATAAAAATCCCTAAAATAGAAAGCTTTTTCTCTGTAACATTTTTAATACTCAACCAATCTTCAAACTAATTTTGAAATTACATCAAGTATAAAGAGTACACTTTAACAATTATGGGCCGTGGGGTAACTTTTTGACCCCTTATAGGAGTTTTAGTGGATTGAAAAACAGTACATTTTCGAATCTGTTTAATATTCACAAAAGAGTTATGTCTCTTTGAGTAGACACTGATGTACAAAGAGAATTGTTATGTTTCCAATCAAATATTGATCTCAAAAGAACTTTTGCAATATTGTATTATAAGATTTTTTTACAGTGTAATATTGATTTTTCTTTTAAGATTATTATACCCCCCGCAAACGAAGTTTGGGGGGGTATATAGGAATCACCTTGTCCGTCTGTCTGTGCAATCGTGTCCGGTCCATATCTTTCTTACGGAGGGACATTAGAATCTACTACTCCACATTAAGATTGCTCATAACCTAAGGGTGTGTCATGACCTTGACCCAAGGTCATTTGGGGAAGTTCAAGGTCACTGGAAGAAAAATTTCATAATTCGTGTCCGGTCCATATCTTTCTTATGGATAAACTTGGTAGGTTCTCATTTCACACAAAGATTGCCCATGACCCAAGGGTGTGTCATGACCTTGACCCAAGGTCATTTGGGGAAGTTCAAGGTCACTGGGAGAAAAATTTCAAAATTTATGTTTGACACATATCTTTTATGGATAAGCTTGGTAGGTTCTCATTTCACACAAAGATTGCCCATGACCCAAGGGTGTGTCATGACCTTGACCCAAGGTCATTTGGGGAAGTTCAAGGTCACTGGAAGAAAAATTTCATAATTCGTGTCCGGTCTATATCTTTCTTATGGATAAACTTGGTAGGTTTTCATTTCACATAAAGATTGCCCATGACCCAAGGGTGTGTCATGACCTTGACCCAAGGTCATGTGGGGAAGTTCAAGGTCACTGGTAGAAAAATTTAATAATTCGTGTCCGGTCCATATCTTTCTTAAGGATAAACTTGGTAGGTTTTCATTTCATACAAAGATTACCCATGACCCAAGGGTGTGTCATGACCTTGACCCAAGGTCATGTGGGGAAGTTCAAGGTCACTAGTAGAAAAATTTAATAATTCGTGTCCGGTCCATATCTTTCTTATGGATAAACTTGGTAGGTTCTTATTTCACTCAAAGATTGCCCATGACCCAAGGGTGTGTCATGACCTTGACCCAAAGTCATTTGGGGAAGTTCAAGGTCACTGGAAGAAAAATTTTATAATTCGTGTTTGATACATATCTTTATTATACAAAAACTTACTTCTGAAAAACCCAGCGGGGGTATTTTGTCCCGATTGGACAGTTCTAGTTTATTTTAAGGGGTCGAAAAGCCCTCCGTTTTTGTTGAACGACAAAAATAAGGTCTAGTTCATATGTGTGTTCCTTATGATAACATTTTTCTTTGGATACCAATTTTTATGCCCCACCATGAATATGGCAGGGGCTTTAAGTGTTTGTCATGTCCGTCTTCCGTCATTCTGTCCTTCTATCTGTCCTTCCATCACACTTTGCGACTTTGCATTTAGCTCAGTTCAAAGCTCAGTTTCAAAGAAATTATCCAAGATATTTTCATCAAACTTTGTATGTTGATAGATCATTGATGAGAGCTATGCAACTGCATCAACATTTTTTTACGTTACGTAATTGCGCATTCCGGTTTACATGTATTTTTGTGAAAGCTTTGAACACACACAAAAAATATTTTTGACTTTGACCTCAATTTTCTTAAATTAGTTTTTAGCCCAGTTTTAAAGAAACCATTCAAGATGGTGTTCTCAAACTTCACATATTGAAACATTCTGATGAGAGCTATGCAACTGCATCAACTTTTTTGACCTTGACCTTTCCTTTGACCTTGACCACACATTTGTTAAATTAGTGTTTAGCTCAGTTTTAAAGAAATCATCCAAGATATTTTTTTCAAACTTCATGTACGGATACATACTGATGAGAGCTATTTAAATGCATCAACATTTTTGACTTTGACCTTTCCTTTGACCTTGACCTCACTTTTCTTCTCTTAAATAAGTGTTTAGCTCAGTTTTAAACATACCATTCAAAATGGTGTTATCAAACTTCTTATGTTGATACATACTGATGAGAGCTATGCAACTGCATCAACTTTTTTTTTAGGGATGTCAAAATTGTCAGTAATGGATATTCGAATATTAGATGGAAGTATTCAAATATATTCGAATATTCGATAAAATAAATACATTTTCATTATAAAATATATGTATTCAATCTCCTGTCAAGCAGTATAGGTTTTATGCCATTATTTTAGAATAAGAACTCATGTAGAGTTTGGTAAATGCACCTCAATTATTATTTTTTTTTCTCTAATTATCAATTATATGAAGAGTTTACATCCAAAATGTAATTTTTTCTTTGAAAATTCAAAAGGTTCTCTAGTATATTTCAGATTAATTGATCAGATTAATTAATTCGTCTTACAAAAGTATACACTGATAACTCCTATAAATATACCAAGCAGAAGAATTATCGAACAGAAAAATATTAAAAGCAATTAATTTTGGCTTATTAATTTCATGATAATGATTTTAATGATATTCATATAAACAAGGGATCCATATAAAACTGTGTCCTTATAACAATACAAGCTGATTGTACAGCTTGATTAATGCTTGTACACTTTAAAACGAATATTTGAATCATAAATCTATATTCGAATATCAACTCATCGAATGAATATTCAAATATTCGTTGACATCCCTACTTTTTTTACCTTGACCTTTCCTTGACCTTGACCACACTTTTCTTGAATTAGTGTTTAGCTCAGTTTTAAAAAAACCATCCAAGAAATTTTTATCAAACTTCATATTCTGATACATACTGATGTCAGCAATTCAACTGCATTAGTTTTCTAGATATTCTGATCAAATGTCATAAAAATTTTCTCAAGTTGTATTACTAATATACTGTAAATTCCTAAATATACGTGTGGAATTAATTATCGCGTAATTTCGCGAGAAGCACCACACGCAAAAAAAAATTACTCGCCTTTATTTTTATGTTGCAGAAATCTTTGTAAAATCCCTCGATCAACCGTCCATTCGCGAATTATTATTCTCGTGATTTGACATTGAAGAGCCCATTTGCGATAATAAGTACTCGCGAAAAATAAGTAATCTACAGTACCTTCGATGGGGCATTCATGTCCTATGGACATATTTCTGAAATTTGACACACTTATAAAAAAATTAATCTGAAGCATTCATCATTTGTCACAAAAACATCCAGTTCCTCAAATAACCTATTGCTATCAGATCTGTGTTCATTTTAATGTACTATACCTTAACACTGGAACATTTTCAGGTACATGTATTTTCTGATACTGCTGATCCAGTTTCATCCAACTTTGTAGGCCCCTAGGGTTTGATGAAAAGAAGGATAACTCATTATCATAATTTTGTTTACACCAGGTCCGAGGAAGCTTACTGTTTTTTGGAATATCAAGTTTTAGCATTTTCCAAGTGTTCCTTCGCTGTCAGTGGAACCCAGTGGTTTTAAAATTGTAGAATATTATATAAGTGAAATTTTTAATAACAAAAAGCCATAGGGCTTTAACTGTCACCTGAGTACAACAATTTAGAGGATCTTTAAACTAAGATAAATGAAGCTTTGTTGCTCAAAAGCAAGAAAAATAGTTTTGTTAGGATCAAAAAAATAATTGATCAAGTATATATTTGTCCCCAATTTATCACTATTTCAATGAAACTATTAACGATTAAATATCTATTATTTAACCACCTATTATTACCTCTCACATTGTATCATACTGTAGATTCCTAATTATTAGCGAGGAATTTATTATCGCGTTATTTCGCGAGAGGCAGTAAATGTGAAATTAAGTTACTCGCTTTTATTTTTATGGTGCTAAATTCCATGTATATTCTCCTAATCAATCGTTCATTCGTGAATACTGTAGACGTACTTTTTTCCACGGGGTCATAATTCCGTGGAATCTCAATTTCTGTTTAATCCGCAGGAAAAAAATTACCCGGATTTCCTAAACTGTCATATTGAATAGGCTTGGACAAATTTCTGTGATAAATTTGTGACCGCATACATAGTGTAAATTAATACCATGCAGAAAAAAGTACTTCTACAGTAATCATTCTCGCGATTTGACGTTAAAGAGCTATTTCGCGATAATAAGTACTCGCGTAAAATAAGGAATCTACAGTATGCCCTTAAATGAAAAATCTGTCTTAATTTCTTGTAGGAAAAATATAAATTGCAGTATATCTGAGAGCTTACAGAGATTTGAAGAACTCATGCAAGCTGCCAAAGAAATCCAAATGCCAGTAAGAGGGTTGGTGTTCAATATTTATCATCTATTACATCATGTCAGTTGAAATCACACAAGCTTTTACAAAAGAGTATTTTGTTTTGAACTAATTTAGATATGTCTCATGCGTTCTTGGATGTCCATATGAAAGAAACATCTCCCCAGAAAAAGTTGCAGAGGTAAGTTTTATTTTGCCGACAAAATATATTCAATATACAGTAAAACTTGCTGAATCTGGATGTTGTGCAGTCATGCATGTTGTTCTATCCAACATAAATTCTGGATCTTGCCTTGCCTATTCTGTAAACCTGCCACTATTTAAAGAACCTGTAATTACTGGGTAGTGCAAATTTTCTCTTCTAATCCACTACTTATTTTTACCTGTGCCCTCTGGTTTTTAGGGAGGTCTTAGGCATTGGATATTTACTGTTTATAGTCCCATAGAAAATCTTTTAAAAATCTCTTAAAAATTTTTATGTATGGATATGTGTATCGTCCTCACACAGAATCTATATTATCAATATCTCAATATATCATCCCAGCCCTACTAAGTAGTTCAATGACTTGTGGAATTAAATATTGTTTCATAAAAGTTCATCTTTTCAAAAAACTTGAAATTTAGCAAATTAACATATGTACTCATTTTACCAGTTACAAATAAGCCAATGAGTTCTGAATACCCTAGAGGTTCCCATGCAATTCGTCCCTGAATTAAAATATCAGTCCCACACATTATCCATTGACATGCCTGGGAAAAGTTTAAGTAATTGCTTACAAGTTAGTTAATGGTATTTCTAAAGGATATTAAAGAAAGAGGAGGTATTTTGGTTTGAACATATTATATTGTATAATACTATACAAATGGTATCAGGGTCGACAAAATGCATTTTGCCTGAGAACACAGTCAATAAATGTATTGTTATACCTTTTATTTTATTTTTTTACATGCAGTCCCTGAAACGTTCTACTTTCCCATTTTTCTGTTCATTCACCGTTGGTTCAGGGTGCGTTCACCGTAGGTTCAGCGTGTGTTCACCGTTTGCTCTCCGCTCACAGTTTTGCGTTCACTGTTTACCGTGTGCTCGCATTCACCATTCACAAAACGTTCACTGTTCGCTCTTTATTCCGTTTTACTTTGCGTTCACCTTGCATTCACCGTTCACTTATCGTTCAGTTTTCATTGTCATTCGGAATTTTGAAGTGAAAGGACTTTTCTTTTTGATGGTAAGGATTTAATTAATTTTTTAATTAAATAACTAAGATATCATGTTTGAAGAATAATTATTTCATTGCAAAAAGTATCTACTATATTTATATTTCTATTATTATAACTTAGCTGTTACTTTATCCATGAAATTTCCCTGGAAAATAATCCATTTTGTACGTACATGTATGTAGAACGATGCTAAAATATTAAATTTAAATAAGGGCAATGTACAAATGCTTCAAGCATGGCAACATTTTGTTGTAATGTAAAAGACAACAATTCGTGATAACAATCCAGTCCAAGTCTTTTACAAGACAAGAATACACACACAAAATGATAATTCTAACACGCATTTAAAAAAAAAATGCACGAAAACATATTAGAACTACATGTAGGTCTGAGAATTATGAACAGTACTGCAGATATTCAGTTAATTAAATTTCTTTACAGCTAATTATGTTCCCCAAACGAAGTTGGGGAACATATTGTTTTTACTCTGTTTCTTCTTATTATTATTATTATTTTTCTTCTTCTTCTTCCTGGGTACTTTTTTGTCCGGGAATGATCTTGTAAACTGTTCGTCCGATGTAGGTAAAACCTTTTTTGGGTCAGTAGACATGTTATGTTAATTTGCGGAATCAAGGTCATTTTGCGCGCACGTGCTTGCAAGAGCGCGCACGTGCAACACGTGAAATGACCAATATAATGGATATTGCCGTAACTTTTCTATTTTTTGATGAAATTTTTTGAAACTCATAATGTAAGGATACATTGGTAGTATAGACAAGCTGGCATGGTCAAAATAGCAAGAACTCACGCGCATGCACGTGCGCTTCGCTCTGATTGGCTGAAACTAAAGTCTCAATATCTTTCTTGTTTCTTGTCATAATCCTTTGAAATTTTGAACATAGTCCTACATAATGAAGATCTACAGCATGATATATAAGAATTTTCATGAAAGCATGCGCATGCGCGTGTGCTGCAATCTGATTCGCTGAAACTTTAAATGGCTATATCTCCTTTGTATTTTGACGAAATGCTTTGAAATTTAAAATATAGTTATGCATTAGGATATCCTACAATACGATATAGAAAAAAATTCATGAAATTACGCGCATGCACGTGTGCTGCAATCTGATTGGCTGAAACTTGAAATGGCTAAAACTCCCTTGTTTTTCAACCAAACAGGATGGGATTCAGAATATAGATAGATATAGAGGACTCCTACAAGAAGGTATGGTGATCATGCTCATGCATGCACGTGCGTGCATTTCGAACGAGTGAAATTAAAAAAAAACCTTGAATGAGTGATTTTTAATACTTTTGGACTGAATGCTTTAATATATAGTATATTAAAATATGGAGATAGTGTAGACAAGATGATATGGTCATATCGCACATGTATTCGCATGCGCACAGGTGCAATGCTAAAATTTGAATATAATTGGTATCCTTCTGGGAAAACGTTGTTAAAGTCATAAATGCACAGAGGTTGTCTTATTTAATGAAGCTTACAGGGAATATGGCAACGGTTCCCGTTACAATTAGCACTAGTTAAATTAATAGTGTGATTTTAAAATTTAGAAAAGACCATCTGTTTAAAATGTAAAACAGTAGAATTTTTTTCTACTTTAGGTTAAGTAGAAAAGTAATTCCTTCCTTCACCGTACTTAAATATATGTTTGATTAAGAGCCCCCACCCCCGGTGCCTTTTTTCCCGAAATCAAATTCTTAGTATTTTCAGTATAATTTAATTTATATTTAATATGTTTTGTAACACAAGAAAATCAATCTTAATACGAACATCGAAACAGTCATTAAACAATAGTGTTTCAAAATATACATGTGCCAACAGCAGTATTTTAGATTGGCAGGGAATATGTTTCAAATTCAATTTCAAACTTAATCCTTCCAAGTATATATTCCCATTATTTACTAGTATTTATTTATTCTGCAGAAATGCAAAAATAAGATCTATAAATGATAGGAAAAAATATTAAAACGTCTTTGAAATACTAAGTGACTCTTTGCCTTCAGCATTTTCGGTGAAACGAGATTTCCACACCTCCACTGTGTCGAATGATTTTGATTGACAGGACAAGCAGTGGACTTCCTGTGAACCGTGTGAACTTGAAGATGGAAAATAAAAGTCGATGAATACTGTCAAATGGATTTGTTAATCTTAAAAAAATTTATTACTTTTACTGCTTGGAATATTTAGGAAAAATAATAAGAATTTTTATTTGATACAACAAATATCTGAGAATGAAGGAGAGTCTCTCTCTCTCTCTCTTCTCCCTCCCTCTCTCTCTCTCTCACATACATTTCTCTGTTCAATAAAATCTATGACAGCACATAACTTATTTAGTTTTGAAAATTTAATCTATGTAACAAATAATTTGATTGCCTCTTTCCATCATCTTGTCCGAGCTTAATTATGACTGGGAAATATCTACAGATACATGTAGAAGTTAGCTAAAATAATCATCACAAAAGAATAAAAGTGACACATAAATTTTTATGGCATACGAAGCCATATAGCTCCCGGTGTATCTTTACGGCAAAGAGTTCACTATGTATTCTAGTAAACGTGAGCAAGAAAAAATAGTCCTCGTCTTTTCTTTAATTCTATTCTACCTTTGTTGTGAAAATTACTTACCAAGTTCTTAATAAAAAACCTTGTTATTTTCATTTAATTTTCGCAACTTAAGACAAGATAAACCAAATAAAAAAAACTAAATTGAATAAACTCCTGTGAGGATGCGGAAGACTATCTTCTGACCATATGTGTCAACAGCGCCACCATAAGTTGATCTAAATGAATGAAAGAGAACTCTGTCGGGAGTACATTATCGTTCGTAGGAATACAGATTAAATGTATTTTACCTTACAAACTGTTTAAACAGCTGCTAAATGCAGTGATTTCCCAAGGCCGTTTTTTGCATGGCGGTAACGCAATCACGATCTCCCGCCAACTCAATGTTGTGAACTCAATGCGAATCGCGGCACGGGGTATGATGCAATAGCCTAGCTGTCAATTTTTGTTCATTGCAATTTAATTACTGGTATATTACTTAGTATCAAGCTTATAGTTGATGAAAATATTAATTAATGACCATAAAAATGTAATTGATGGCTGTCAGATAGTACGAATGGTAAAAGCAATACACTTGTTAATGCACATGTGGGGTTTTCCAACATTCACAGGTCGTTCTATAAATAACATTGATGCTCCGACAGGACTCGACATTAACACTTGTTCGCTTGTCCGGTACCAATAAAAAAAAATTACGGACAAGTGAATATTGCTGGGCACTTGTCTGATTGGACAAGTGATTTTTTATGTATAGAAGTCTTCAAATAATAATAATATTTAAGAAAAACAATGATTGAATTAAGTTTATCGAATAAAAACAGAAACATTACATAAACCCGAATTTCAATCCCGATATCAATCACTATGTAAGTTCAAACTTAATCGGGAGCGACGTTCACTAATTGCAGCCATACTATTGCATGGCGTGGATCTTACGACGTTTGCAGGTTTGGAATATATTTGATTGATATTATAGATTCACTTGCAAACATTTATGTTGTTGTCAGGACAGGAAATCTAGATAAAATTTTGTTTTATAAGTGTTTGTCTTATTTATTCATAACAAGACTAATTAAACAAGCACGTTTATTTTTTTAATTTTAGTAATTGTTTTCAAGATATCATTTGAAAATTTTGGACAAGTGAAGTTGAAGTTCGGACAAGTAAATATCTTGGTCACTTGTCCGAATGGACAATTAGGGAAAAAAGTTAATGTCAAGCCCTGTCCGACATTAAAATACGAGGGGTTATCAAAAAGTTCGTGGACTGAGGCTATAAAATTAGTACTATGTAGTCCGTGCTTTCAAAATTAATATGGAACATAAAAAAACACAAAAAAGAGAAATGTTGAAAATTTTAGCCTGATAAGTTCATTA